GAAGCCCGAGGGCGCTGAGGAGGCGACGGTCATTTGAGTTCTGTCCCCACGGGCGCGTTTGCAGAAGCCCCAAGTCCGTGATCCTGGGAAGCCCCGCAGCTGTGTGCAGCTCTGGGCAGGGATGGAGAAGCGGCCCCCCTCCCCACCCCCAAAGCAAAGTCAAGTTCTCGGAGCCTCAAGAAATGGTGGAGGAGCTGCAGAAATGCCTTCGTCAGGAGGTTTAGTCAAAAGTCCCCGTGCTTTGCAAAAGTGCGTGGGTTTGGTTTGTTAGTAAAAGTTGAAATGAAGAATTGGCGTTAACATAGAGAACGATTTGAATACCTCTGGAGAGCAAAGTCTAGAGCGGGATGTTCAGTATTGGTGCAGGTCAGAATGACCCCTAGAGTATGATAAAAATAGATTCCTGGGTTTCTCTCTCCGGAAGTTCTGGTTCTGGGGTCTACAAAGGGCCCCGTGTTCTGTGATGCTACCAGGCATCCTCAGGTGATGGTGGTGTAACTGGACGGGGACAAGCTGGCAAGCACAGCTGGAGGTTAATCGTTCTCTACTTTTAATGTGTATGTGAATCATCTGAAGATCTTGTTCAAATTCAGAATCTAATTCATTCAGCAGGTCAGGGATGGGGCCAGAGTCTGCATTTCTAATCACCTCCCAGGTACTGATTTGCTATTCTGCGGACCCCCTTTTGAGTGGCAAGGCTGTAGGGGATACCCTATTAAGGATAGAAAGCCCTGGTTCTCACCTACGGTGCTTATTGTCAAGGGCAGCAAGCCCTCATATAGCTGATTTTAAGCCAAGGTGAAGTGGGCTGTCCCAGTAAAGACCCAAATCCATTACAAATAGAGACACCTCTCTCCCCCTGGGCATCATTGCATGTTCATAATGAGACATCCAGAAAAAAAAATGGTGTATGTGGTATTTGACAAACTGTTTAGCAAGATAGGAAAGGGCCCTACATCTCTGACACCTATTTCCATCCCAAATGGTTAATATCTTCAGAAAAAAATATGGAAGCTAAAGAGGTAAGCCCTAATTTTCCAGAAAATTCACTGATGTGGAAAACTTCATTTCCTGATAATGTGGGGTAAATCTGTGTTTTGTTGGGTGCTCCATACGTTGCTGGTGCTCATGAATTGTTCAGTTTTATTGTCCTCATTAACAGGGATAATGCTTGCTTTTTAGCAATCATGATCACCATCTGGAGCCTGGAAAACTAGTTTGATGCTCAGGTAGAAAGAGGAGACTGTCCTGATTGGAGTCCTAGCTCACTTATTTCCCTACTGCCCCAGGCTTGTTTGCATCTAAGGGCTTGGCCACCACTCACACAAGAACCACATGGACTGATGCGATGTTAGTCCTGGTTCAAGAGAAAACAGAAACAAAGCAAAACAGAACGAAACTCAGAGAGTGCAGGGAACGTTTGGCTTTGACTTCACTGTTGAATTTCATTCTGATCTTACAAGTATTCATAAGGTGGCTTTCCCCGTGTGTTCTCATAGCCCTGGTGACCTCTAACTATGCTGTGACATTGTGACAAGCTGGCTGATATGACCATCACTGCTCTGCCCGCTCTTGGGCTGAATTGGATTTGAGCACCTGAGTGAGCATCTTTGTGCTTCACAGAGGATTGTCTCGTTAGGAGGAGGTGGCTAGACCACCAGGGCCTGGTAACCATAGCAACCATGCACACCTGCCCTTGTGGGTTCTTGAGGATGCCACTCCAGACCTTTCCCAGACCTAGCTTTTCAAGCTTTCCCAAACTGTTAGCAGCATTTTGAGAGCAGCTCAGCCCTAACGTGTGGGAGGCAGTTCAGGAGTACTGACCTGTCTGTTCCTGGTACCTTAAACAGTTAGTGCCCCATGGGGAAGGGGAGAAGCCAGAAGAACTGGGGAAGTGATGACAACAACATGAGCAAAAGCTCGCCAAGGAAATAAAGCACCTGCTTTTGATCACTAAAAACAGAAGGTAAAATGCTCATGATAGAGAAGGCACTCAACCCACTGTAAGGAATTACACCTAAAAGTTTCCTGGAGGGGTGGCAGATAGGTAGGTGAGTCAGAGATGGTTTTCTAGAGAATTTGAGGTTCCAGCAGGTTTGTGGGGGCAGAAAGGGACAAAACTCATGGTGGTGAAAAAAGGGAGGGGATGTTAGAAGTTCTTCTATAGGGGCCATGTGTTGTTTTAGGGGCAGAGATAGGGGCGGGTACTGTGAGGCTGAACAAATGGAATGGGGTATCGGGGCCATATGGATGTGGTTTGCCGGCCTGATCCATCATCCTAAACAGCCAGCTCCAGAGTGGGCAGACAATAAAAGAGAAATCAGGCTTCCCCAGGTTCTGTCCTCCCTGAACTTTCCAGCCTTTCTTGCCACTGTGAAGACTCCCGCTCCCCCTCCCCAGCAGCCTCTTCCTCACATGTGGCTTCGAAAGCATTAGTGCCATCCCATCAATTGGTACCAGATTGAAAAGAGCTTGAGACCAGATGTTGACACTGTGCTGAAGCTCAGAACCTTATTGGGGGTCAGCCAAGTCAACTCTTTGTGGTTTCTTGACTGTTTCACTACGAATAGTGAATGTTTACACCAAAGAAGTGGGAGGATGTGCATTCTAGCTGACCTTCACTTCGCCTCCCCTGTCATCTCCTAGAAATGAGGGTTTATCATTGGAGATGGAGCCAATGGTTATGTCTTAAGTATGAGGAAAATTTCACCACAGGGGGATAAATAGTGGTGTTTCCCATCAAAGTTATTATAGGATGGAAGGGGTAGAAATATGCAGTCTGATTTGCACTGTTTGTTCTTGGGGGTGGGGATGCACACACCATATTAGACCTACCTCATGTTGCGTTCGGTACTGATTGCGTGAGCACACAATCCTGTTCTCTGTAGACAGAAGGTGACTTTGATACTTTCTCATGGATCCTATATAACTGTCCTGTAACTTACTGGGTGACCTTGAACTGGGTTCATTTGGGTGAACTTATTGGGTAACCTGGTTTTCTCAGCTCTCAAATAAGAAGAGTGGTGGGATAGTTAGACACGATGAAATTAGCATCCCTTCCAGGGATGTTTTAACCCTAACCTGTGACTTGCCTGGGTGCTGGGCATGGCTCAGATTCTAATCACAGAATCGCCTCTGAGCCCCTTCTATCACAGATGTTAGCTCCATCCTCTGTGGCGCTGGGTATATTCTTGGTAGGGACCACGGGCATGTGACCAGTTGCGTACCTGGAATGTGCAAGGCCATAAAGTGTCCAGAACTAAGTATGAGAGGTAGTAACCAAGTTCTCTGAGAGCAAGGATGATTTATATCAGGTAAGATTAAGTGCAGCTATGTCTAAAATAACTGTCTTAAAGCAATGGTTCTCAAAGTGTGGTTTCTAGACCAATAACATCAGCATCACTTGAGAGCTTATTAGAAATGCAAATTCTTAGGCCTCACTCATGCCTGAAGAATCAGAAATTGGATCCAGCCATCTATGTCCTAACAAGCCCTCCATGTGATTCTGATGTACGTCAAAGTTTTGAGAACCACTGGCCTAAACACACAAAGATTATTCTATTATGGAAAAAGAGGTCTGGGGGAAGACCACCCTGGACTGACAGAATGTCACTAGGAATCTAAGCTGATCATCCACCTGTTTTTACCAGACCTGGTTCTGGATGACTTTGGCTTGCCTCGAAAGAGAAATTCCATTCTCAAAGCAAAAAGACCCAGTGGCTATTATAGGAATCCAATGTAATTTGGCTCATCTATTGAAAAGAATTTCCCAAATATGAATTCTGAAAATATTTTGAGCAATGACACTATTGCTGGCTTATGTGCTTCCTAAGGTGAGGTACTGCTCACATGGATATATATATATAGTCTTTGGTGTATTTGTTTAAAAATTAACCTCATTAATTCATGGCCCTATATCTTAATAATACAGTAACATAAGGCCATATCTTGTGGTCCTTCTGTATCCCCCTGATAACATATTGCTGATCACTGAGTAAGCTTTCAATAAATAATGATTGGATTAAACTGATGACTTCATAGAGACCAAGGCAAAGCAAGATAAAATCAAGAATCAAGCTCTGATCTGGATAACTAAATCAGTGTAGATGGCAACCGTAAAATGTTTCCGAATCTCAAACATTTGGTTCTCAATAGTAGATTTTTTTCTTTTTCTACATTAGTTTGGGTTGTATTGATTTGAGCAGTGGACTGAGAGCTGGGACCCAAATTAAAAGCTCTGCCTTCAGAATTAGGCAAGTCACTTCCTCATTTTGCATCTCCTTTCCCTTCCCCATAGGCAAGGGGTTTTTACAAATACAAGGATTGGACAAGAGCTAGTCCATGAGTTTGTCTTCTCCTGAGGAGATAAGTATGCAGGGCCTCCCCATGGAGAGAAGGAGCACATTCTCAGTAGCACTATTAGTACACACAAGCTACCTACCCTCAACCCCAAACTCCTTCAGATGTGACTACTTTCCATCCGTCTGTGTGGATCTGTGGGTGGGAGAATGATGGGGTGAGTTTGAGGACAGAATAACACAGTTTTCATCTCTAACCTAACAGAGAAGCCTGGGTGGTTTAGAAAATTGAAATAACTTCCTTTCATTTGCACATAGAGCTGTGGTTTCCAAGAGAAAATATCAGTGTTTTTGACCAATTCCTAATTCGCAAAGACTGGAAAAACCATGCCCTATTTGCTTAGCCCCTGTGCCGGCCGTGGGCCAGACTAGAGAATTGCCTGTTTATGCAAGCGGAAACAAGGTTGCTTCTAGATCAGCCTGCCTGGCCACTGCTGATCAGATCAAATCAACAGCATTTAATGGGCTCCTCGAAGGGCCAGTGCACGGTACTCCAGAAGACACAGGGCTGGCTTGGCTGACACTGCAGGTCGTCTACCCAGCGTTCATTCCCTCTTATTCCCAACCAACAGAACTCCTGCGTCATTGAAGGCAGCAAGGTGCCCAGTTAAAAGTGATATATTTTTTTTCTCCTATCTGTAGCCTTGTGACCACGTTCTTCTGGTCCTTGAAATCCAAATGCAACCTTCCCGTGGATCTCCAGGAAGCCTCTTTAAAGACTGCTGATTCAACCAGGAAGTGTGCCTGTGTTGTTTCTACTCCTCCTTCCTGCTGCCTGGGATTGAAATGTAATATCTGGAACTTCAGCCATCCTGGGCCATAAATGTGGAAGCCAAGCCCTGAGGTTGGTGGAGAAGAAAGGGAGCAGGAATCTTAGTCCCTGTTTGATTTTATGTCAGTCATAGATCACCTCCCCAAAGACATCTTTTATGTGGCAGATTAACTTTTTTTGTGTTTAAGCCTCCATTGTTTTGGGCTTTCCATTATATGTGGTTGCATCTAATCCCAGCTGATCCAGGTGGTCCCTGTTCTCAAGGAGCTTCATGCTTGTGGGTGCTGTGTAGCCTGGCACATTCAGTGCATGCACGTGGTCCCTACCACAGAGTGTGTCGCTCTCCGGTCAGGGTCTCCAAGGACCGGACCTAACTGCAAGGGGACTGACTGCAAGGGCTCAGCAGGTGTCCCGGTGGTTAGGATACCAGGCTTCCCTAGTAGCCACGAGAGGGTCACAGGATGTTAATGGTGACCCGGTTTAGTTCCTACTTCACCACCTGCCTTTCTCCATTTTGGGCCCAAGTTCATTATCTGGCACATGTGAAATGGAGAATTCGAACAATCACCAGCAGTTTCTGGGACCTGGAAGAAAACCTTGGACCACCGAATCCACAAGTCTGCTTGAAGCACGAAGTGTAGACAAGACTACATGGGTGATGATCTCTCTGACTTCGTATGGTCGAGATTTCAGCTGCGGAATGCAGCCTCACAAGCTGGGTTCAGGCATGGCTCTTTGAATCTGAGTGTTCTCTATGCATACACACAGGACTTTTTAATTAGATAAGCCAGTCTCAACTGAAGTTGACCATGGATCCCAGCTCATAATTCCAACTAAGCTCATGGTGGGTTTAAATTTACAATGCACGGCACTGTTTTGGAATATAAAGTTCTATAGATTTTAACACATGCACTGAATCTGGCAACTACCACCAACAAACAACACAGAACAATTCCAACACCTCAATGAATTTCCTTATGCTACCTGGTATGTATGTATGTATGTATGTATGTATGTATGTATTCAGAGAGAGAGAGAGAGAGAGCACAAGCAGGGGGAGCAGCAGGTAGAGGGAGCAGCAGGCTCCCTGCCAAGCAAGGAGCCTGACGCAGGACTTGATCCCAGGACCCTGGGGTTATGACCTGAGCCGAAGGCAGACGCTTAACAAACTGAGCCACCCAGGCATCCCTGATATTTTTTTTAAAATAACTTTACTGAGTTATAATCACATACCATTCAATCCATCCATTTAAAGTGTGCAATTTAATGTTTTTTTTTTTAAGATTTTATTTATTTATTTGACAGAGAGAGAGATAACAAGAGCAGGAACACAAGCAGGGGGAGTGGGAGAGGGAGAGCAGGCTTCCTGCCGAGCAGGGAGCCCGCCGTGGAGCTCGATCCCAGGACCCTGGGATCATGACCTGAGCCGAAGGCAGACGCTTAACGACTGAGCCCCCCAGGCGCCCAGTGTAATGGTTTTTAATATATTCACAGATAATGTGCCAACACTAGCAGTCAATTTTAGAACATTTTCATCAATGCACAGAGAAGCCTCTCACCCTTTAGCCACCCACCTAACCTTCAATCCTCACCCAGTTTGAAGCATCCGAAGCTACCACTAATCTACTTTCTTTGTTTTTTTTTCAAATATCTTATTTATTTATTTTAGCGTGGGGGGACGGCAAGGAGCAGAGGAGAGGGACAAGCAGATTCTGTACTGAATGTGGAACCCTACGTGGGGCTCGATTTCAGGACCCCACGATCATGACCTGAGCCAAAATCAAGAGTCAGATGCTCAACTGACTGAGCCACCCAGGCGCCCCTCCTCGAATCTACTTTCTGTCTCTATAGATTTGTTTGTTCTGGACATTTCGTATAAATCACCTTATGTAATATGTGGCCTTTTTTGCTGGCTTCTGTATCTTAGCATACCATTTTCAAGGCTTCTCCATGCTGTGGCATGGATCACAACTTTATTCCTTTTTATGGCCAAACAGCACTCCATTGCGTGGAGATACCATGTGTTCTTTATCAGTTCATTCATTAGTTAACGGACATTTGGATTATTCCCACCTTTTGGCTACTGTGAACAGTGCTACTATGAACACTTGTGTACAAGTTTTTATTTGCACAACCTGTTTTTGGTGCTTTGGGGCATGGAAGTAGGAGTGGAATTGTTGGGTCATGTGGTACTTTCATGTTTAATTTTTTGAGGAGTCACCAAATTGATTTCCTGCACTGGCTGACTCATTTTATATTCCCACCGGCAATATGTGAGGGTTCTAATTTCTCTGCATCTTTACTAACATTTGTTATTTTCTGTGTTTGCTTATAGCCATCATAGTGGGTGTAAAGTTACATGGTAGTTTTTTGGATTGTAATATTCTCACACTCTGGGTGAAAATGTGGAGACTTTTGTCCTATTTGTTGCCTTCCAGGGATTGAAACTTAGCAAAACATAGACTTTCAGAATGAGAGCCTATAAAGGGGAGTTGGCAAAGAAAAAATGAATAAAAAGGAATTTTCTAATAAACACAATATGAGGAAGAGCAAAATGTTATATGAAAATCATGGGTCCATGCGGCGCCTGGGTGGCTCAGTTGGTTGAGCCTCTGACTCTTGGTTCAGCTCAGGTCATGATCTCATGGGTTGTGGGATGGAGCCCCCGCAGTGGGGTCTGTGCTCAGCACAGAAAATTCTCTCCCTTTGCCCCTCCCCCACTCATGTGCACCCACGCTTTTGCTCTCTCTCTCTCTCTCTCTCTAAAATCTTTAAAAAAAATCATGGGTCCAATATACACTTTAGTGAATATATATTATTTGTTCCTACTATGTGTTCCTACCCTGTGCTAGGCACTAGGGTCTGAAAACTAGTTAAACAGGAACAGAGCCTTTAAAATGTTTATTGTATGGAGGGGGCACTCAGAGGAAGGGCCCTTCACACAGTCTAGGTATCAGGAATCTTCCCGGAGGTGAAGGGATGAAAAGTAAAGAAATCCTCATCAGAAAATAAGGGGTGCTAGAAGTATTTGAGGGGGAGAAACTCATGCTGGAACATTTGGGAAGTACCCTTTGGATGGCCTTTTTTTTTTTTTTTTTTTTTGGGCTTTAGGCCACAATCTTGATTAGAGTCTGATTTCTTTCATTTCCCAATCTGCAGTGGGTAGGTATAATTCTTTCTGGAGGAAAATAAATCATAACTAAGACTTTTGTAAATATTGCTAGCTTTTGATTATTTGCACTAATTATAGGGGAACATATAATTCAGGATGGCAACGATGTAAACAGGGCTTATATTGACTTTGGAAGATGTTTTTTCTGTTGATTCCCAGATGTTGCTGTGTCAGATATTCTCAGAACACACAGATCCAACTACAGCATGACGCCCTAGGAAATGGAGTCTGTTCCTTCAGGACGATGCATTGGCCAAAGCAGAAACATGTTCTCTTGACAATGCCTGTGGTTCATACCTTTCCTGTGGTGAGAGTTAATTGTTGGGGTTTAAGTTTTTGGTCTCCTGATTTTTTGCCAAAGAAGAAAAAGAATTCTGAAATCTTTTGTCCTATTTTAGAGTGACAAAAATCCTCAGAGATCACCCATTCTTTCTTGGTACCATAAAACCTTTCTGCCAAATTCAAGGGAGGGAAAGAAATTCTTTTGATATGATAAAATTCTTTTGATGAGACTCTGTGGCTTTTAAAATAAGCCCAAATAACTTATTCATTCATGTCCTAGGCAGTACACTAGACACTGTCATAGAATATACACAAATATACAATGGGCCAGATTTTAGATGACTTCTGAGGGGTCACCAATAGCGAACAGATTCTAATCCCAAATAAATAATATTACCAATGGTCAAAGTAAGAAACGGATTCACATATGTACAATAAAACCTGAAACTCATTTGGGCTATGTGTAGAGAATTAGCAACACGTCTTTATTAAATTTTTAAAAAAGTTTTGGAAAATAAAAAATCCTTGAGTATCTGGTTTGAATGAATGATAAAAATTAATTTGTAATCAGCACATCAGTAATATATTTGCTATCTATTGCTACATAACAAATTATCCCAAAACTTAACATAACAATAACATTTATTATCTTATCTAGTTTCTGGAAATAGATTAGCTGAGTGGTTCTGGCTCAGGGACTATCACTAGACTGCAGTCAAGCTGTCAGCTGAGTCTACAGTCATCTGAAGGCCAGCCTGGGGCTAGAGGACCTGCTTCCAAGATGGCGCACCCACATGGCTGGAAAACTGGTACCTCAGTCCCCTTTTTAGTGAAACTTGCTATAAGACTGTTTGAGTGTCCTCACAGCATGACAGCTAGCTTCATGGTCATGATCATGTTCCAGAAGAAGACCTGAGGGGGCAAGGCAGAAACAGCAATGTCTTTCATGACCTACCATAGGTCCCACATCATCACTTATGCCATATTTTATTGACCACACCAAGAAACCCTGATACAGTGTGGGAAAGACTGCACAAGGGTGTGCATACCAGGAGATGGGGATCACTTGGTGCCATCTTGGAGGCTGACCACCGCAAGTTATCAGTACATAAATTGGAAATAAGTCATTCAAAAAGAGAATTGAATTAAATACTTTTCTGGCAATCAGCATCTGACTACTACTATTATAAAAAAATTCCAAACGAGTGAAGCCAAATTATGAATTTGAGCTCTTTTAGGTTGAGAGATTTATGATCAACATCAAGATGGATCATTAGCTCAGGGTTATGGAAGACCATGTATAATTAGCTGGATTCTGCTCTTTGCTATCATGAGCGTAGAGCCCTTGGGTGTTGGTACCCTACCCAGATTCTCTGAAATACATAACAGGACCATCCACAGTGATTCCATGCCAACACTGTGTCATCTCCATGAGCCTACCCAGCTTGCTCGGATCTAGTGGTGGTTTCCAACCATTTCTCCCTAGACTGAGGAGGTACCCTAATATCACATGGCACACTCTCATAAGCAACCCTCAGATTATGTGCACTTCCCAGACTGCTAGGTATTACCCCATTTTTTCCTTTTTAATTCAAGAAACACATCAGAATACCAGTGAATCAGAGAGGGGTTATCCTAGGGATAAACCCCATCCTGTTCTAATTTATATAAGAGAAGCACACATATAAATAAGTAAGGCATTTGCAAATGCTAGTGCATTAACTATTAGTAGTAACAAATCTCTTTCAAGACATTAGTGTCTTCACCCTGAGATTGAGGGCCTCAGTAAGGACACTTGGTGTCCTCAGCTTGGTGAGTTCAAATCTGAAATGTGGGCTGATCTGTTAGTACTTCCGTATTTCCTGGTAGCTTGCAAGCATCTGCCGCTGATTGTAAGGTGAGCTGAGTGAGAGGATCTGTGTGACAGTCTCCCGTCCATTTAAACAAACTTGGCTGCCCCCAGCAAATGGATTGAGAAGTAGGGAAAGCAGAGCTGTGGACATTGGCTTGTCACCACTGGAGTGTTTTCAGACTGTCTCCTGTCTTCCTACATCATCTCATTGTTTTTGTCTTTATGTCCCTTATTCTCCAACCCTGGTTTTCTTTGTACCTTGGCTCTGGTATCCACCAGGTCCCCGGGCTCCAGTGACCAGTGTAGATGTGTTCGTTGAGTTCACTCTCTGGATCTGAACAACCTTGGCTGAGCTGTGCTGAAGCGCTCCTCCCCTCTCACTAGCCTTTGGTGTGAGTCTGTCTCTTCCCGTACAGCCCCAGTGGCCACAGGTGGGAGGCACCCACCTGTTCTTCCACGGAAATGCATCACTACCTCTGGGGGAAAACGATTAAGGACCATTAGTTAGGATCATTATCATAATTATAATCCATCAAATGAATTTTCACTTATTATAATTCAATTCAAATTCAGATATGTGTTCCTTAAGGCTTTTTTATGCCTGTCTTAATTCATGAGAATATCTCTGGGGTGAGTTTTCTTTTCTTCCATTTAGTACATGAGAATACCAAGGTCAAGGGAAGGTAAGCCACACAGCCACTAAGTTACGGGGACAGGATTAGAATCTCAGCCTTCTGACATGTGGTCTAAGTTATTTTCATAATGCTATAAATGGTACTGAAAAATTTCAGAATGGAAAGTGTCATAGACTAAGATTAATCAGTGGATTATTTGATGGGAGTGCTTAATGATGAATCTTTTAAGAATGATCTTTTAAGAAAACTGGACTTTATTTTTTTAAAGAAAATGTGCAATAACTTTCACCATTATGTTGTAATAATTGTCTTCAAGCATTAGAAAATTAAGTTAGACTTAGTTAAGTTGGATAGAAGGGCAGTGGCAAGGAGACCTGGCTGGCTCAGTCGGTAGAGCATGAGACTCTTGATCTGAGGGTCGTGAGTTCAAGCCCCATGTTGGGGTAGAGCCTACTTCAAAACACACACACACACACATAACTAAAAATTAGAAAGGCAGTGGCAAAAGTATCAGAATTATGGGGTATTTGGAAAGAAGTACAGTTGTAGTTCTTCATATATATACTTCAGTAAAAATAGCGAAGAACCAAACTACTCAAAGTGTTTTTAATTTTCAAGTATTGACTGACAGCCTACTGTGGTTAAGGCACTTACCTTGACATGGGAGACCCATGGGGTCCATATCTTGTGGAATATTATAACCCGAGTATCCTTTGAGGGCTATTCTAATAAATTCTCTGTGAAACGTTTTTGTATTTTGTGTGGGGATGTTGTGGAGAACATGGTGGGCCACCTGATGCTGTGTTCCTTCCTAATGATGGAGATATCTTTTGGATCTCAGTGTATGAAAGAGCGTCTCAAAGACCGCAAGTCTCAGAACCTATTGGCTTTCCTTCTTTGAGTTTGTCTTGTAGGTCGTGTTTCTGTATACTAGCTTGGTCCCAGCTTTATCTTAGAAAATCGCTCAGTGTTTATTTTATCTTTGCTCTGCTTGCCTCCCCTATGTGTGTGTATTCTGTTGTCCTATATACCCTGAAGTGATTCCAAAGTGATCTCTTGAAGAAATAACTTTCCAAACATCTATAGAGGAAGTTTTAATAAACGGGTGAGATTCGTTTCAGTTTCGTAATACTCATGGCTTAGAAACAATATGCTATCAACAAAGGAGTGAGTAGAGAGAGAAGAGAGTAGAGGGTGCAGGCTGTCCAGTCATATTCTGCAGGCAGAAGGCCCCTCAGTGGTCCAGAGAAACTCTACTGAGAAGGCTGTGATTTTGCTTCTGGAAGCCTCCCAAGTTTGACTTAGCACGGTTGCAGTCTGAGAAATTGTCAAGGCCACCCAAAACACTGGCTGGTTGATTGATTTCATGAGATTACTTAGTATAGCTAATGCTTTCATTGAGCTTTTTTTTTTTTTTTTTCCTGGATTGGAGTTGTATGTGGGGATGAAGAAAGGGTTCTAGCAAGAGTTTTCTCTAGGGGCCAAAAACATAACCAGTGATTCTCAGTGTGTGGTCCAGCATCATCACCGTTACTGGGGAATGTGCTGGAAATGTCAGTCTTCAGGCCTCACCCAGAGCTACTGAATCTGAAACTCTGGGTGTGTGGCCTAGAAATCTGTATTTTAATAAACCCTCCAGTTGCTTGTTCTTGCTCAGGTTTGAGAGGTGCTGGGAGATAGAAGTTAAGAGAGTGAACTCTGGACTCTGATTTCCTTTGCTAGAATCCTGGCACAACCACTTTTTCACTGTGTGACTCTGGGAAAATTGCTTGATCTTTCTGTGCTTTAGTTTTTCTATCTGTAAGTATCTGGAGAGAATTATGGTACCACCTTCACAAAGTTGTTACAAGGATTAAATTTGTGAATATACCTAGAGTAGGACCTGGCGCATAATAAAAGCTCAATAAATGTTAGCCAGTATTCTCAGAAGACATTTTGTCATGGAAGAATGGGAGAATTTCTCTCTCTAGACCCTTTCTCCATAAGAACCCATGAAGCTCTCTCGTGCAGCTTTCTCTGAGGAGGAACCTAGAGGCTAGAATTGTGGGGATAGCAAAGAACACCGGCTACGTTCAAAGCCCTGTCTACACATACCATGTCTGTAGCCCTAGCGATAACCCTGAATTACGAAAAACTCCATTTCCTTCTCAGCGTCGGCAAGATCAGTTTCTGACCTGTGGGACAGAGAATTGATTCCTTGATTGTTTTCTGGGGGAGAAATCCTAAGTATCTGAGGGAACACAAAGGTGTTGCAAAATTCACCACAAAAATCTGAAAGTAAAATCACCTAAAATTAACTTTATTTTTTAAAGATTTTTATTTGAGAGAGAGAGAGCGTGCACAAGTGGGGGGAGGAGCAGAGGGAGAGAGAGAAGCAGACTCCCCGCTGAGCAGGGAGCCTGATGCGGGGGCTGGATCCCAGGACCATGAGATCATGACCTGAGCCGAACAAAAGACACTTAACTGAGCCACCCAGGTGCCCCCAAAATTAATTTTAAATATTTTAAAAGGAATTCTAGCTTCGCCAGATTTTCTCAAATTGTGTATTGGGTGGCGGTGGGCTGGACAGTGGGGAGTCCAGAAAGAACCAAATGGCTATTTGATGTTATAACCTCTCTCCAAAGACTGAGGATCACTGTTGCAATGCTTAAACGGGTTATTTTCAAAAGCTGCTACGGACACACTCATCATGGCCTCAAGACCCACTTTGCAGCTGCGATAGGTGGTACTGTGATCCCCCTTCTCCTGAGGTTTGAAGCTTTGCCAAGATGAAGTACAGCTGGACTGAATTAAGTTCTTGTCAATAAGATGAAAAACACCAGATCAATTGGGGTTTTTCCTTTGGCAGCCCCCACAGCCAAGCTGGCTCATCTGTATGGCGGATTCACTTAAATCATGCGAAAGTAGTTGCTGACATGACCAGAAAAAGTGGTTTGT